GGCAGCAAATTTTAGTCTTTGTTGCCATCCAATAGTCTTCTGGAGCTCCACAATCCAGTTGATAAATTTACTTTTTACTCCTTTTACCGATTTTTAAGATGTTACTGTTTTTTTTTTCTTTCAAATACGTAATTTAATTAAAGGCATAAATAATAAAGTTACAACTTATAATATGAATCCAAAAAATGTGCAGAGGAACATTGCAGATTTTGGCTGGCCAGTTCAAAATTTCCTCTGAAGGGAAGTATGTACCCTGTTTCCCACAAAATAAAACATCCCCTGATAATAAGCCCAATCAGGCTTTTGAGCACATGGCAATAAGGCCAAGCACTTATTTCAGGGTCCAAAAAAAATATAAGACAGGGTCTTATTTTCGGGGAAACACAGTATGTGTTTTCTCCAGAACACATATGCACACACAAAAAGTTAATGGAAAAATGTAACAGTTTGCATGTGAAGTTTGGTTTTCATAAGCTGGATGTCCTAGATGCAATTTTCTAATTTAGGTGTGCATTTGTACATGTGTGTTCATTAAAAAGTTTACACCAACTTTTTCTTCTGGAGAATTTACATATAGTCTCTGAATTTTGTTTTTATTTATAATTTCTGGTTTTGGCATGTGACACTGAAAATGGTTCCAAACCAATTAAAAAACTGAGAAAAGATCTGTAATTATAAAGAAAAGAGAATGAGCTGTATTCCAGTTAATTAAACTTCTGACTACAAATCCTGTGAAATACATATGTGGGAGTAAATGCCACTGACCCAAGTGGGTGTTTCTTAAGCGTGAGCTGCAAGTCACACAGGGCGTTTCTGAACAGAAGTAACTTTCTCATGTCAAATTGTAAGCTGCACATGATTTTATAAAAGTCTGCTGGACTTTTTTTTTTTTTTTTTGAAGAGGAATGGCAAGACTGCATTAAGAATTCCATTGAAGAAATCAAGAAGGATAAGCAGTCCTTTGGTTTGCTGTCTCTCTTTATTTATTTATATTTACCTACAGTATAATGCAGGTTGATACTCTAAAATGGCAGCACTGGAAATACTTGTTCAAATTTTGCTTTGCAAGTAAATCAAATATCTTTCAATGTTCCCTCCCTTTCCTTTGGCTTAAATGAGCAAAAATAAAAATAATTAATTCCCTCTCTTACTTCTTAGTCCAGGAATGACTAAAATGTAGGTACTAGAGCAGTGGCCCCCAACCTTTTGGGCACCAGGACCGGTTCCATGTAAATTTTTCTATGGACTGGAGGGGGCGTGATTTTGCGTGCTGCCTGCATCCCACAGATGGGGCTTTGCTTGTCTGTGTGGCATGCTTGCTGGCACGCCACGGACTGACGCCAGTCCATGGACCAGGGATTTGGACCCCTGTACTAGACATTCATGAGATATTTGAGGGGAATTGCATTTACACCACTCTATCTGGACATAGACGGCCTTCACTGTTCTGCTGGTGCTGAGTAATTAATCTAAATTATACAGGCCATTAAGGTCCTGGAGTTCTCCTTCAATGGCCCTTGCACAATGTCTGTCAAAGGATACCCCTGATCCTGGAATGTATTTTAACTGTGATTCAAGGTTGGCTTGCACACACACAGAAGTAATATTCAGGAGGGCTCTAATAGATAATTCAAGATTTTTGAGGGAATGTGGTGCTATAAAGTTGGAGACCCTATGCCTTACCCCAAATGTTTTTTTTTCCAATGCTTTAGTTTAGCTTTTCTTGTGGTATACTTAAATCCAGGTAATTAACAAACAACCATGCTCATCTTCTCGCTTTACTTAAGGAAGAGAAAAGGCTCTTCCCAAGAGCAGGAAGCAGCTGCTATTCTTGGTCTCTTCTCAGCTTTGTATTATAAAAACAAAAGCAGCTTGGCAACTTTAATTTCTGCAAAAAGCCCTCATTTGGCAGAAAGTACACATTTCCAAAAGGGTACACAAGTTTTTTGGCAGGCTATTCAGTGAGGGAGAGAAAAGGTGTGGGGAGAGCTGTGAAGAAGATACAGATGTGCTCCAGAGAAAGGAACAGGACAATTCACCGTGGTCAATCTGACATAACCATCTCGCCATGGGACAACTTGCCATGGGACAATTCCATGTGGAATAACTCAACACGATAAATATTATCCACTGTTTGTTCAACATCATTGCCATTGACAAAAATGGAAAGAATGCAGAAGAAACTATGGTGGATAACATTTATCGCGTTAAGAGTTCCCACATGGAAGTTATTCCAGAGCAAATAGAACAGAGTTGGAAGGGGCCTTGGAGGTCTTCTAGTCCAACCCCCTGCTTAGGCAGGAAACCCTACACTTCAGACAAATGGTTATCCAATCTCTTTTTAAAAACTTCCAGTGTTGGAGCTTTCACAACTTCTGGAGGCAAGTTGTTCCACTGATTAATTGTTCTAACTGTCAGGAAATTTCTCCTTAGTTCTAGGTTGCTTCTCTCCTTTATTAGTTTCCACCCATTGCTTCTTGTCCTACCCTCAGGTGCTTTGGAGAATAGCTTGACTCCCTCTTCTTTTGGTGAATTGGTGAGTTGGCTGTGATAAAATGGCTGTACCAGGCTGGTCACAGCAAGGTGGTCATGGCAAGTTGGACAGGATGAGGTGGCTGCAGCAAGATGGTTGTAGCGAGTTATCCTAGATCCTCAAGAGAAGGTGTGAGCTCTTGACTCTGAACCTGCCTGCTTATCACTTCAGAGGTGGTATTCAGCCGGTTCTGGAGAATCGGTAGAGGAAATTTTGAGTAGTTCAGAGAACCGGCAAATACCACCTCTGACTGGCCCTGCCCACATCTATTCGCTGCCTCCCGAGTCCCAGCTGTGTCTTCTTTTGTTGCCCTGTACACAGAGCTGGAAAGGAGGTTAGTGGGGAGGGGAGGAATGGAAATTTTACAGTATCCTTCCCTTCATCTTCACTTGTGCTGACCAATTCTTAATCTATTTTACCCTTTTCTCCACCGTTTTTGCTGTTGTAATAACAATTCTTTTAGTTCAGCTTTTTTTCCCTTCAGCTTTTTTCTCTTCTCTGCCTACTTTATGTAAACTGCCATTTTTGTTGTATTTCCTTCATTTGTCCCATAGATACACCTAGAACTGTACTGCTTCTTCTTTGCTGTGTTGACTGCATTGCATTCTCTCCATGAATTAGACCCAAATTGGAGATTCTACCTATAATATGCAATTTGAGCATCATATCTGCGAGACTGCCTTCTGCCGCCAATAGCCTCCCACCGACCGGTTCGCTCACACAGAGAGGGTGTGTCGTCAGCCAGACAGTGCCGGCTGGCGACCCCCAGGGGGAGAGCCTTCTCTGTGGCAGCACCTGCTCTCTGGAATGACCTACCCCCTGAGATACGCACGATATCAGACCTCCGGACTTTTCGTCAGGCCCTGAAAACACACTTATTCCATCTAGCCAGGTTGGCTTGATCCCATCCTCTCAGTTTTAATTGAATTCGGTTTTAATTGGGTTGTTTTAAATTTTGGGCCGAAATTATTTAATTGTTTTTTAAACTGTTTTTAAAAATTTTATATGCTATGTTTTATCTCGGCTGTATACCGCCCTGAGTCCCGCAGAAGGGCAGTATAAAAATAAAATAAAATAAAATAAAATAAAATAAATAAATAAATAAATATCTGCTGATCTTCACTGCAGCTGTTATTTGCTCCTTTATTATTTCTAGTACTTCCTTTCTTCCTTGTTTCTAGGTGATATTTCTTCATCAGGTATTACTTGGTCTTGTTCTGTAGCTTTTCTTTCATCTGTTCTAATTGGCTTGGATCTGATCTTAGCATGCTGATCTTATTTTCCAACCATATCTTCCATTTTGGTGGTACACTCAGAGATGGTATTCAGCAGGTTCTGACCAGTTCTGGAGAACTGGTAGCAGAAAATTTGAATAGTTCAGAGAACCGGTAAATATTATCTCTGACTGGCCCCTCCCCCACCTATTCTCTGCCTGCTGAGTCCCAGCTGATCAGGAGGAAATAGGGATTTTTCAGTAACCTTCCCCTGGAGTGGGGAGGGAATGGAGATTTTACAGTATCCTTCCCCTAGAATGGGAGGGGGGAATGGAGATTTTACAGTATCCTTCCCTTGCCACACGCACCAAGCCAAGCCACAACCACCAAGCCACGCCCACAGAACCGGTAGTAAAAAAAATTGAATCCTACCACTGTATCACTTCCTTCTGCCCTACTTCCCCCCAGAATGTGACAGGGCCACCACAGAGCAATCTTCTGAGTGTTCAGGCTTTAGTAAAACAAAAGCTGTCACCAATGGAGAAGGTGAGTCCTTAAATCTTTTTGGAAAGGCCATTTGAATAATGGCAGGTCACCTTGTAGACGAGGGAGGAAGGTGTATCTGTCAACATTCTCTCCTATCGCACAATTAAAAGGATTCCTGGCCTAGAGGCAGGTAGGAAGTAATTATAGTGTGGTCTATAATGGAGAGAGAGGCCGATTGTGGATTTTTGTTATAGTTAATCTATAAAACCCTAAATATTTAGAGAATTTGCCTTGTAAATAAAATTCTACAGGAGCCCGATACAGCACAAAAACGAGAATGTCTGTCCATCACCTCCCCATGGACGCAATAAAGCTGAATACTCTTGCATCTGGAAAAGGAGATTGCCCTGGAAATTTTCTCTTTATTCTTCCTGTCTGGCACATCTAGGGCTGTCTCTACAGAATTACTGTCATATTGCTTGACAAGCATAGCTGCACCTGCAGCTCCATGATCCAGTAAGAAAATATTTTCAATGCCAATCCTAACCAATTTTCAATGTATAGTTTGAAACCATACCTTAAGTGGATTTTAAGAGGAGTTAAACCACACAGGACCTGAGAAACCAAGTGGGTAGTGTTTTGTGTGTTTCTCTTCTCTTGGTTTCCTGTAATCACTCATAACCTTCAGGACAGTATGAAGCATAAACACTAACTTGATCACTGAAAGATGTTGCAAGGCACCTGCACAGGGAAATGGGACAAACCTCCAAGCTTGGTCTTCATTTTATTGAAAGAGAAAAATATCCATGAAAAAGAAGCACGGGAAAAGGATCACAAGCCAGCATGTTTCCACAGGAAAGAGAACATGGCCCTGGAACCACTACAAACCTGGGCATCCCACTCCCAGAAAATTAAATAGGCAGGCAGGCACAGATGCAGAGTCTTTCAACCATCCCAGAAACGAAGGTCACATTTCAAATGTATGTGCCCAGTAGGTGAAAAGATGCTTTCCTCATATTCACAGATGTATTCTATGCAACAGAGTTGGCCATATGCCCAAACAGCTTTCATTACAGAATGATTGACTACAGGAAAGGCACAGGAGGGAATTAATCACTTGCTGCTGACTCCTGTCCACTGGCAGATTATTGATTCAGTGGCTCATACTTTCCCAAAGATCTGCCCATCAGTTTCTACGGCTTGCTAGCTTGCTCCTTGGCAGTAGGGCTGGGTTTTGTTCTGGATCATTCCTGAAATGACCTTATTTCAATTGAGGTCACTGTTAGCAGTACATCTGTGTAAGAAAGGAAGGGGAGGGAGCACTCACTGATAAACTTTCAAGATGGACCAGCACTAGCTTGGTGGGGCCTGATACATTTGGTTCCTCTTTGCTTTTGATCTTAATGATCATAGACATAAGATGTTCCTTGCCACATGGCATGTGGATGCGCTGCATGTCATGTATTTTCCTGGGCCAATTCCTCAGGGCAGGGAATCTGATTCTGGGGCTTTAGTAGATGCATGACAGGCTGTGGTTGGGAAGAAAGATTATGTTGTGGGTCTACTGTGCCATGTCCTGCTGCTGTGTGATACAAATGTTTCTTGTACTGCACAAACATGCAGACCTTAAGAACAATAGCCAGCACGTTCTTCCCCATGAAGATACCAGAGACACGAATGTCCCGGAAGAATATCATATTGCTTCCCCTGATGAAGATGGTGGTGATATTGATTGTAAGCATGCTCAGAATTGGGTACAGCATCATGCGGTGCGGCACAATGCTGATTCCTTGCATACTAATTTCACACAGCGACACACAAGGCAGAATCAAGAGGAGGATATAGCAGTAGAAGAACATCAGACCTTCAGCCCAGATGGGTAACCCTTTCTTCTGAGGCTCCCAGAGATTGGCCTGAATGTCCAGCACATCCAGCATATCGACAATGACCCAGAAGAGACGATTGCGAAGATCCTCTTTTTTCTTGAACGTCCTGACGTACTCCATATGCTCTGTAGCCACCAAAAGCACATAGAGGGCTGGGATGCAGATTGACAGTAGAAGGGTCAATGCTTTGCGGGCTATGAGGTCCAAACTTTTCCTGTCAGCCTTATAGTTCTGATAAACGAAGTAGACTTTGATTTCCAGCACAAAGACATACAGGAACCAAAGGATCATGGCATAGCCTCGCTTAGCAGTCCTCACTTCAGCCCCAACCCAAACAGCAACATACCTGAGCACCACCAGGAAGCAGATGTCTCCAACTGAGACCATGATGCAAATAGCCAATTTCCTAGAACCCTGGTTCTGTTCCACCAGATAAGCATCCATCAGCACCATGCTGCTCATGATGAGTGTAGTGGATAGGCAGACATGGGACTTGTTAATAGGAGGGGGAGGAACCATTCTGAAACAAAGAAGACATATTATTAGTCCAACAGAATTTCTGTGCAGCCATGGACCTTCTCCAGGCTCGTTGTTAGTACTGTGGTTGCTATAGCTTTGGCATGTGTGGGGTGTTGACCAACTGTATCTCTTCATCTAATATCCCTATAGTTGAATAACACACCTTGTAATATTTTGTTAGTTCCCAAAGAAACTGTATAGATATAACATTCAAGCAATGGGAACTGAACAGGGACCTTTAATTCAAGCCATGATGACTGTACTAAGCATACATTCTGTGTAAAAATACCAAATACGAATGTAATAGTACAATGCTTTCAGTACTTAGAAAGTATTTATTACAAGCTTCTTTTTCCCTCTGTGCAATATGGAAAAAAACATAGATATCACTGATTTTCCTTCTATCACTGCATTCCCAAAGGCCTCCCATCCATCTGGACAAACTTTGGGAATTCCATGGGAAGAAGCTATCAGTGAAAATGGTCTGATCTTTTTTATAGCCACCATCCAAACTTGAGTTTCACTGAGATCACTCCCTTCAGTAAAGCTTTAATGGTGATCCAAATCTTTGATTTTAAATAAAAATACATTCTAGTGAGGGATGGATCCCTGATTGATATTATATTTTATGGAGATGTTTTGCAGAATCAATGACATCCAATTCTCAAGTTGCCAGCACAAGTTGTTAATTCTCTTGTGGCTTCAGAACAGATTATGAATAAAATTCAAGCTTTTATGTTACATGTGCTCACATGTTCAGTTTATGGTTCCCCATTCACAGCCTGTCAGACACACAGATCTGTAAGCCAGGGGTCCTCAACCCCCGGTCTGTGGACCAGCACCGGTCCGCAGCATGCCAGCAACCGGTCTGTGCAAACAAGTAAAGCTCCATCCACGGGATGCAGGCAGCATGCAAAAACCACGCTCCCTCCGGTCCGTGGAAAAACCTTTCTGCATGGAACTTGGCCCCTGGTGCCCAAAAGGCTGGGGCCCCTGTTGTTTTTCCCTTGCTTTCTACTTGGATTCTCCAAATGGTTGCGGTGAGAGCGGACAAGATACACAGCCCCAGTCAACAGCTTGAAAAAAACTAGGGACAAATACAAATCTCTTTCAACTGAACATTAAGGCAAATCAGGTTCTTTCGATTACACCGAGACCTGATGAATTTAAAGTAACAGCAAAACTTTACTGGTTACATGGTACATTTGCTCTTTCTCACACGCACATACACTCATTCATGCTTACCTAACGTCCTTCTCAACTAGACTGCCAGGCACTAGCCAAGAGGGATGGAAACTGCCAAGCTTGGTTCCAAAAAAATTATCAAGGAGTGGGTGGGCTTGTGGACCTCTTTTTGTCCCCAAGGATTTTTGCTTTATTGACTAGCTGGGATGGATGGGGACCCCCTTCCATGTGTTCAGGCCCAGCTTCCTTTATCTGGTTCAGGTGACATTTTTTTCCTTTGTTCTCTTTAACAATGTACTTCCTTCTTACTGTAAAGGACCTCGTAGACAAGATTCCTGGTTTTTTGTCCTCTCTGCTTACGTGTCTCTTTCTTCTTTACAGATAGTCCTAAACTTACAACAGTTCATTTAATGATAGTCCAAAGTTATGACTGTCTCAGAAAAAGGGACTTGTGACCCCTCCTCAAAGTTAAGACTATCACACCATCCTCATGTGATTGCAATTTGGGCTCTTGGTAACCGGCTTCTATTTACAAGGATTGCAGCGTCTTGCAGTCATATGATCCCAATTAGCAAACTTCCCAGTCAGCTTCTGACCAGGAAAGTCAATTGAGGAAGCTGGATTTGTTTAATGACAATGGTAAAAATGGTTGTAAAATCAGGTCCAGGAGTCACATGAATGACTCAGTTAATGACCACATCACTTATCAACCAAAATTCTAGTCCAAATTGTGGTCATAAATTAACCTGTAGTTATGGCAGCTTCTGATTAATCCCACACATTACTACTGTCCTGTATGTGAGCACTGTATCCAAATAACAAAAAGAGATTGAAAATGAATTAAAGGCCAGGAAGAAGTCCAACAGTTTTAAACTAGATCAAGCTCAAGAACAGCCTTTCCTAACTAACTGCTCTGCAAAAGGGCTGGGTTAGGTCTTCCAGAATTCCCAGATAAGCTACATGCCCAACATACAGGTGAGTCATTCTCTTGTTCTTTTTTACTGTAGCATTTGCATGTGGTCCTGATTCAGACTGGAAATTTTGGAAAGAACCTTCTGAACCATGATAACACAGTGGTTAGAATGCAGTAAGTCTGTAGAGATTCTTAGTCATCCAGGTCATGGTTGTCCCAAAGATGCTTTTTCAGGAGGCACCTGGACTTTCTTGTTTTTTCTTTTGAAGATGTTTCACTTCTCATTCAAGAAGCTACTTCAGCTCTGACAGAATAGTGGGGAATGGAAGGATTTATATTCTTTGCAGACAGCTGGTCATTTGCATCCTTTTCAAGGGTCATTGAAGCACTTGGAATGCAGTACTGTAGGTTAACTCTGCTCATACACAAGGAGTTCGATCCTGGCTCAAGGTTGACTCAGCCTTCCATCCTTCTGAGGTCAATAAAATGAGGACCCACAGTTTTGGGGGCAATATGCCGATTTTTAAACCATTCAGAGAGTACTGTAAAGCCCTATGGAGCGGTATATAAGACTAAGTACTATTGGTATTGCTATGAATTCTAGGGATATCAGTGGCAAAACCTTGTGATTATCAAAATCCAGTAAGAATCCAATAAGAATGGTCTCCTGATATAAGACAAAGTGGCCAATAGTGCCATTTAGCCATAAAGAAAATGACCTAATGTTTTGTTCTATAGATCATATAGAATGTGAATGTGTTAAATCAGAATGTGATTTGTTTGGTTTTGGATTAGTTTATTGTGTTAACCCAGATGCTGTGGTTCAAACACAACTGTCTCTGTCTTAATGTTATATGTAAATCCTACCACTTGGATTGATCAACAAATCATGATTAAACAAAGCACAGATCCAGTCCCTGAGCTAAATCACTTCAGAATTGAGATATATTTAAAGACAGTTTGTTCAGCATATATATTCCCATGACCACCCAGGCAGTAGCTGCTTTTCCTGGGTGTCTACCACTCACATGCTTATTGATTTCATGTACAATTGGCAAAGCTGGAACAATTAGGCAGGCTTGTGCCGAATAATTTTCAAAAGGCTTGCAAGCTTTTGCTGCTTTGAGAGACTCTTGTCAAAGTAACATCAACAGGAAGGGGGAAATATCGTAATGATGATCACCTGAACAGAGAATGAGAGGCCACCGAATGGAAAATGGGGTGGGTGGGTGGGCGGGGGACGGGAATGAGGAAGACCAAATATTTCAATTGAAATAAACATGAAACAGGAACGCAGATTTAAAAACAAGGATATAACAAGATAGTTCAGCTTGCAGCCTCTTCTATGACCTTGGGTGGTCCTGGGTTCTTCCAATGCAGTTGACAAGAGATTGGGAACCCATTATCCTTACATTCAACCCACCCTCTGCCCAAGCCGTTTTGCTGAGGAGACTGATTACTTACATTCTGAACACTTGTCTTGCTGTCATTTTGCTTTCTCATTACAGAGAATTCAGTTACTTGTAATACCATACAAAGCTCTAAGCTGCACAAACTCTGTATAGGCACCCATGCCAGGCCCCAAACCCAAGAATGACACAAGGTGATTCTTCTAAGTGGAGTTATTTATTGTTTCTACACCTACAGACAGAATCTTGCCAGACTAACCACTCTACTATCTGAATCTACCATACACAGATAGTCCTCAACGTATGACCATAATTGAGCCCAAATTTATGTTGTTAAGTGAGACACTGGTTAAGTGAGTTTGCTCCATTTTATGACTATTCTCGCCACACTTGTTAAGTGAATCACTGCAGTTCTTAAATTAGTAACACAGTTGTTTAATGACTCTGGTTTCCCCATTGACTTTGCTTGTCAGAAGTGTGCAAAAGGGGATTGCATGACTCCGGAATGCTGCAACTGTCATAAATATAAGTCAGTTGTCAAGCATCTGAATGTAAATCACGTGACCATGGGGATGCTGCAATGGTCATTAAGTGTGAAAAATGGTTCATAAGTCACTTTTTTCAGTGCCATTGTAACTTTGAGCAGTCACTAAATGAACTGTTGTAAATTGAGGACTACCTGTACTCTGAAAACTATTAGGGAGGGGCTGTCTTCAACCTCTTTCTCTCAATACAATATATCTGGATTGAGTTGTCTCTTATTCCTCTGGAAGGCACTCCCTTCCTCCTGGGAATCTAACCTACTACATTCCATCACATCCCACCTGCTCCTACAAGGTAACTATCTGCTGGCTAAGATCTAGGAAAGATGCTCTCTTAAATTTGCAGTGTGGTGACTCAAATGAAAATGCTCAGGACAAGGTGCCCTGGTCATGGAATCCCTCCTTGTTCCATTAGAGTTGGCCACAAGCCTTTTAATCTTCAGGTTAAACTAATATTGCTTTCCATGCCTGGTCTGCTACCCCTATCCCTTGTCTTAAGAGTTTTTGAAAGCAATTGAAGATACCTAACATGCTTTTTAGAGTTTTGCTTTTCTTTTAATTATTTTAAGTTATTATCACTTAACGAGCTTTTATTTGTTTTTTTAATAATCTGTGCTCTACTTTTGGATTGTAAAGCTATTTAAGTGTAATGTTATTTAAACTTAAATTGAATTAAATTAAATTCAGTACACTTAAATTATTCCTCTCTGTTTAATAGCTTTTTCATCCTGTCACCTTCAGAATTATATTACTTTTGGAGGAACTCCAGAGCCAGCCCTATAGATGGGAACAGGCATTGCTCACCTCCAGTGAAAAGAAGAGAGCTCATTCATTCTAATTTAGAGATGGTTGGACTGGAGCTGTGTTGTGATCTGTTTGGCCATTAGACAGCTGTTTTTTTAGGTTGAACAGCATCACATTTTAAGCAACATCGCTCCATCTTGTAATTGTGAAGTAACCTAGGGTTTGAAGCATATACCTTGCACACACTTCCTTACAAAACTATATTGACATCTTTACTCTACAGGCTCAGTGATACAATAGAATTGGATTTGTATAGCTCAAGAATGGATAATAATAGTTACTGGAATCCATTTATCAGTATATGAAGACATGAATGGTAAGTCAGTAAATACTGGATAAAAATGAGTGAATGATCTAACCCAGGGGTGTCAAACTGGCAGCCCGCGGGCCAGATGCGTCACATGCAGGCCACGCCCACCTCAGCTCCATGAAGGGAAAAAAAGTCACAATACATCACGTGACATCAGCGTGACACGGCAAATTTGACACCCATGATCTAACCAGTATTCAGCACTTTTAATAAATCCTGTTTATTTTCAAGGGAAAGTTTTATAAGTGCTTCATTGGCTAAATTCCATCTACATAAGGATGCCTACAACAATAAAAACTGAGGCTGCTGTATTTCTTCTCTACACACTTACATAGAGAGGCAATTTTAGTATATGTATTGTATTAGAATTGAATTGTGAATTCTTTTGCAAAAGCCAAGTTACTCTAGGAAATGTTAGTGCGTTCTATTTATACAGTGTTTTATGAGTAATTGGAATACCTTTTCTTTTCTTTTATAAAAAAACAGATATTCTGAGCTTCTGATATGTACATAACTTCCAAAACCATAACAAAATTAAATCATTTAGACGAAGAACAAAGAAGGTAAAAGAAACATTGTAGATAGGGGAGGGAAAGGAAAGAGAGGAGAGGGAGAAGAAGGATTGTTGTAAAACAAGAGAAATGAAATGGTAGAAGAGCAACCCCGAATATAATTAAATTGTTTAGGATGAAGATTGTATTAGTATGAAAGTTAAAATAAAATATGTATGTTAGATAAGAAATTGTACATTTAAGATATGTTTATGAGACAAAGAAAAATATAAAAAACTTTAAAAAAAAACATTGTAGATATGTTCTGCTTCCCCCATGGTTAGTTTTGGCTTGGAATGTTTTGTGAATAGAATCAATTATGTTTATAGCTCAGTGCGAATATGAACCTAGCTAATTATGGATTCCTCTGACTTACATCAGGAACTCAGTTAAGTAATCCATGATTTAGCAATACTTTTGACAAGCTGGGGTCTGCCAACGTTGGGACAAAATTCTCAGAACTGACCATGTTGCCTTGGGATTCTGGGAATTGCATTTCCAACATAGGGAAAGAGTGTAGAAATGGTCAGGCATGTTTAGTGTGATATGTTAAGCCTTGCTTAAGGATGCCCTCTGATTTTTTCCGGTATAGTTAGATTAAAAGTCAGTCTCACGCAATACGATTTATATATGGTTGGGGATATCCCATGGGAGATAAGGAACTTTATGCCCGAGTATACTTATATAGGCTGAGCCTATTGAATACTAAGTAGTGCCAGCTCTCAGGACTCATAGTTAGCAATTGGGTTACGGTCTTTGAAGGCAGAATTGAGGAATTGCTCAGTGTCGCACTTCAGAAGATTGCTTATGGGATTCAAAACTGCAGATGTGGGTATCTGTGAGAACTACCAAAAAGAACGGGGGGGGGGGGGGGAGAAAAAAAAAAAAAAGGGGGGGGGGGGGGGGGGGGGGAGAAAAAGAAAAGATGCAGCTGAGACTACAGACAATGGCAGAAGACAGCACATACAAACAGAACTAAGACTGAAGCTGCTAGGAAGCCTGACTGGGGAGAAAAATGTCAGATAAGCCAGTGAAAAAAGACTGGCTTATAATGTGGTGTTTTTCTTCCACGTTTCTGTGCAAGAAAAATACATGCAAATATGAATATAAATTTTCTTTTCCTAGTCTGTCCACTGATCTTTCCTATGATTAATCCTCGCTGCTGTTTATATAAATCCATGGAGAAAGTTGCCAGAAGCCACAAGTAAAAGCAAGAATTTATGCTTCTTTCATGTGTAACTGGTTTTTAAGAGCAACTTGTTAGGTAATACTGTACCACAACATTAAGTAGGAAGTAGTAAAATACTATCACAGGCCTTGACCTTATGTAGTTGAACTCATACACTTCTCTAGCTCAGAGACAAGTCTGGGTTAATTAGTTGTAACGGAGAAATGTAGACTAACATTGCCCCATTTATTTAGAAACAGGTTAAGATGGTTTGGAACTGGAATAGAGGCTAAATATTACTCATATTATCCTGGGGGGTGGGATTCATCTGCCCTTTTGCCTTTCTTGAGCCTCCTTGGTAGACCCCACTGCTCCCTAGTCTGCTCTACTGGTTGAGTATCTAGGACAGGTTTATAAACTCAGGATTATGTGAAAGTGAATCATTTTTCAGAAACGAACAAGCTTCTAAGGAAGTAAAAGAAACAGAAAAATATATCATTATGCAAACACTATCTCTCTGTGCACACACACACACACACTTTACTAGGTTATACAGCAAAGGTAAAAAAAAAGGAAAAGGCAGTTGGAAATCACAAAATCCAGGCTTTGGAAGGATACTCTCTTTTAGCCTAGAAAGTAAATCCTGTTCTTTGGCTTCACAAGGGCTATTTTAGCATATGATTCAACACAATGAGATACATTATAAACTACAAAGCAAGACTTTTGCTTTTTTTAAAAAAAAACAAAAACCTGACTTCCTTTGATTTAGAAGGAAGAGGCAGAAGAAATCATGCAACTTAGGACCAAAAGACTTTGATTAAAATTTAAACTTTGGAACCATAATTTATGCCAAAATGGAAAAGAGGCCATGTTAAAAAAGATAGGTCTACTCTAAGGCATTAGTCTAGAATCCAGAAGCTCCTCGGGTAGTTCTTAAATAAGATGAAGACTTTTGATCGAGCACAATGGGACATAATGTTTATAGGTGTCTTAAATCTAATGTCAGACTGTCTGGATTCCAAAGAAGACCAGAGCCAAGAGAAAATTAAGCATCCAAAAAAGAAAGATGGGTCCAAGATATAGTATCATCATTTGGTAAAGGCGATACCACTTTTTCCATGTAAAATGAGCTTTCTATATCTATGGGGCAAATCCATGTCCATAATCATTATATTAATAACACTGGGATTTCAAACTCATACTTACTATACATCACTCAAAGTCATTTTTGTGAGATAGGAAGACATATAAATTTGATAGATAAACAAATAAATACATAATATACTATATGGAATTAAGAATGTGTGGACTGTGAATGTAGAACAGCCACTGTAAAAATATTTCTTCCAAATTGTCAGCACTTCTCTCTTGTCACGGGTAGCTTTGAAGCTGCTGAATATAAGCAGCTTCATATAATCCATTTCAGGGGTGGGTTCTACTTACCTTTACTACCAGTTCACATCATTCCCGCGCGCACTCGCTCGCTTCGTGCTCCCGTGCATGCGCCCTTCTGTGCATGCGCAGATCACCTATGATGATGTCCAAGTCAGTGGGCGGAGCCGCCTGCCAGTTTTACTACCGGTTCTTGCAAACCGGTCTGAACCAGAGGCAACCCACCACTGGTCCATTTGATGGTATATCTAGATTCTGGATTTATTAAACTAGTTTCTAATTTATTAAAGCAGCATCTTTAAGAAACATGTACCCAGTAAGTAGATATTTTTCTATTTTTAAGCATTTCTTTCCTACATGTAGGCTGGAATATAGGCTTTCAAATAGTCCATCTGATGGTAAATCTAATTTCTGGATTTATTGAACTAGTTTCTAATTTATTAAAGCAACAACATTAAAAAATGTGCAGACAGTAAGCAGGGTTTTTTTTTCCCTGTTTCTTTCCTACATTTTTATCAAAAAGTCTTCATTTGGCTATGATCGCCCAGCATGCAAAACCATAGTTTGCTTTACCACAATTTATTAAATGAACCATAACTGGTTGAGTCCACATAACTCAAATTATAACGCGTAATCTACAAGCGATTCTGTCTGGATTCCTACATTAGGGTTAAATGAACACAACTGCAGAGCAGAAAATTACCCAGCTGGGCTGAACATTATTACATCCCTACAGGGATCAATATTTAGAGCCAAATTTCCACCCTCCCATGCGAATGACACCCTTGATCAAGGGCCAATCCATGCAATGAGTTCAACTTTTACCAAGCAATACACTAAGCATTAAAAAAAAAATGTGTGTCAGTTTTTCCTTGGCAGAGTACGAAGTATTCATTTTAACCTTTAAAGCCCATCAACAGTTTAGGATTTGATCTTCTGAGGGATCCCATATTTCAAAACGAACTTGCCTGGGCATTAGGTGCAGAGGGTCTCACTTTCTGAGGTTTGTTTGTTGGGCATATAGGAGAAGAATTTCTTCTATATGGCTCACATCCATGGACACCTGGAGGAGACAAGGGAGAAAGCGATCGTCATAATGGAACTGATATAAATGTTGTCAATGTGAAATCATGATTGGTACGATTCTGAGATAAAAGAAGTAAGTCTTTTTTCTTCAGCTATGCTTTTGTAATCGGAGTTAGCTTTCATACCGGTTATAATTATTTCAATGATATTTTAACTCTAGTTATGTTTTGCATTGTTAGCTGCCTTGATTGCCCTGTGGGCAGAAAGGCAGGATATAAATAAAATAAATCTCTACACACATATTAGTCTAGCTTAACTCACAGGAAACAGGGATGCTTCACATGATATGCCTTAAGGCAATGTACTACTCCCTCCTTCAGCTGTCTGTCTTATAATGCCTCCAAACTAATCAAGATTTATCAGCTTTCTCTCACCTGATGCCTGCCCAGAATTTCCATGCAGACTGCCAGTCTACCTTCTACCCAACAGAGTAGAAAGGAGTTCCACTCACAAGTCCTTGAAACCCCATAAATATGCTTACCGGTAATTGTAAACTGGATGGCAAAACTTCAGCCACAGAATGGGATCCATTAAAAAGATTACAATATTGCCTACCCTGATTCATGTCAATAATACTCTAAACAAAATAGGTACTTCCTCATCTTTTTCTTCTTAATTTTTGTGTCTTAAGCTGAGGCGTAGTTGAAGTGCTTAATGTTAGAGCTTTTTTAAATGAGTCCAAGCAAAAAGGCAATGTTGCAAGCAAAGGACAAGTAGTCCATTTTTTGATGTAGATCTCACTTCTTTTTTCAATGGCCAGCAGCATGTGCATACATACACACACACACATTCACATACCTTCCTCAGTTTTCTATCTATCAGAACTCATTCATGTCGTTTGTTGAAATGCAGCTGACTCTTCGTATGAATTATGGTTGTCTGGTCTATCTGCTAAGCATGGATCCCCTTTTGTTGTTCAATCCTAACTTGAGATTTTGGAGGTTGGGCGAAGCACTTGTGAAAGAGTATCGAAAAAAGGGGTGTATCAGCCTCAGATTTGCACATGGCAGAGAAACTGTTATCTGTCTATCTGCAGCAGAGAAGAAAGTTAAACAGGTTGGCTGGTTTTTGGGTCATGTGCAAAAAGAATGGGATTGCTGCATTTTTTTCACAAGCGGCTTCCTGGCTACAATCAATGGAATTTATAGTGTAGCACATCTGAAAAGTGCCGTTTGAGAAAAGTGCTTTATACAATCTATCTTTTCCAGCACACCATATTAACCACATTGAGTTTGCATATGTGAGAGATGCCTACCTACATAGAAATATTATAATTAATGCTATTCAGGGATAAAAGGTCACGATATAGAAAGTCTGTGCCTGGTTTTTTCATGCCTTCTTATTTTCTCCCAGAGAGATGTAGGCTACATGGCAGAATCAATCTGGGTAGGGAAGAGTAATAGAAGGAAAAAAGCACTTAGCCTCATCCAGATCATTCTTCCCGCCCAGAGCGGATGTCTATTAAATCAATTTTGGTGAAATTTCTTATCAATTACAGTTAGATCATAAACATTTCAGTGAATATATTGTATAGTGAATAATAATACTGATTGTCAGTATTCACATGAGAATGTTGGCAATCTCAGGATAATTTTGTCACTCCTTGGGAGTCTGCACATGCATACAATCATATTTTCCCCATATGTTCTGGGACACATACAACTGCATCTCAATGATTGCCAACATTCAGAAGAGTGCCTAAGTTTTCCATAAGGCAGTACATTTGCCCAGGATCCTAAAGATTCATAAGCAAATGACATGTTTTCTTAAGGTTCACACTTTCCCCCCCCTCACATATTCAAGTCGAGCCACCCGTTCACTGCAGCATCAATTTGTTCTTTGGCTGCTTTCCAAAGAAATCCAAGAGCAAAACCAAAACCAAAGCTTATTTAATGAAGGATGATTTTAGACGACAATAATAATAATAATAACAACAACGATTAATAGTAGCAGTAGTACAATATTACCTAGTGCTGGTCTTGAAAGCCCCGGGACTTTTCTCCGGCTCTCAACAGGGATGGTCTTGTGCTGAAAGACGGAGGGATCTTGAAGCGATCCAGTCAGTTAATCAACTGAGTTAGGACGAGAGCGAGATCCCCCGGCAGAGCGAGGCCGCCCCTTCGCAGCCAATGAATGCTCAGCAAGTTCTGCGCGTGGATTTCAGCCTGGTCCTGGAGAGGCAGCCGCACCGCCTCCCGCCCTGCCTTCCACGCCCGGAGCTGCTCAGACTGATCTCTTGCAAGGGACCCCCGGCGTGCTAATCGCTACGCTGAGAGCCAAATTTCTCCCTCCGCGCCCCGACTAGCTCGCTCTTCGAGGTCCCGCACGCCGGTTGCTTCCCGCCGCTCCAGGGGGCTCCCTTCCGGCTGTTTTAGCGTACTGTAGACCGATGCCGGGAGCGCTCTGCGCCGCTCGGCTCGCCTCTTCTCCCCGCGAACGCCTCCTCTCCGGTGTAGGTGACGAGCAGCCGTTGGCCCGGAGCCCAGCAGCACCATCCCCCGCGATGCGACCGGGGCAAGCAGCCTCTCCTTCCCGCGGGAAGCGAAGGTCAAGAGCGATTCTCGCAAGCGGCGGTGGCTCACGGGTTTTGCAGTTTCCTCCACCCACGAGCGCGGAACGTTAGGGGAGGGAGCGGCGGGTACTGAGAACTGTGCAAAAGCGGCCCACACAGAACACGCCCGCGCGCAAAAGTCCTCGAGGTGCCGGAGAAAAGCGGGACTTCGACTCCGCTCCAGCCTGGCCTTCGCCCTGCTCTGCTCTGCCTCTAGCCCGCCTCAGAACGCGAGCGGGAAGCCGCTTCCCCCCTCCCCCGCACCCCCGCACCCCGGAGTCCAGCCACACGAGCTGCGGTTGGGGGCGGGAAGTCCCTGGCCCTGGCTGGGCAGCGTGCGGCGGCGGCGGCGGCGGCTTCTGCAGTCTGGCAAGCGCCTGGCTCGGCGAGGCTGGGAGCGCTGCTGAGATCAAGCGCGCCTCTGTGCTGAGCTGAGCGAAGCAGTGAATTAAAGTGAGTTAGTCAGGCGGCAGGTTGGCAGCATGGCCGCTCCCTCCAGAGAGCGAGACGGACGGAGGCAGGAAAGGAGCGGAGGGGATAATGGAGTGGTTGTCTTATTGGGGAGTCTTACGGGAGGAGGAGGAGGCTACGCCGGGACGGTCCCGAGGGATGTGCCGGTCCTTGCTGTTGTGCCAAACATCCTGTTTTGTTAAATTCCAGATGCTTAATTCCAGACGAGGGCAGCCATCTATGTATAAATAAATGCACGTCCGCCCCGGTGCGCTCTTGCTCCTTTATTCTCATCCCAGAAAGTGCTCCGCAACCCACATTCTCCTCCTATGTAAATGCTTCGCCAGCAAAAGCCAGAAAATACGCAAATCAAAGGATGTGCTGCTAATTTTTGAGGGGAACGTATCTTTAGGCCTTGTATAATTGTCCTCCCTCATGCGCACACAGGGACACACATTCTCACACACACACACACACAAACAAATATACATAAGCAGGTGAAATTTCTCCAGCTATAGTTAATATAGTTCAAAACTCTTTTCTGCCTTCAAAATTGTTTTAGAAACATAATGGATACCAAAAAAAAAAAAAAATCCATAACAAGATTTTCAGAAAGATTGTTCTGCCCAGCTCCAAATTTCCACCATTGGCATTGCAGTCTTAACAGCTCTGGTGGAGGAGAGAAAGGTGAATGAATGAATGAATGCAGACAGAGAGATAATGCCAAGTAATAGGATTTAATCATTGCTTTCTTATATAGGCTACTGGAGGTCAAGCACTTAGTGACACTGTGCCACTAAGAAAAATATCACACCACTAATCCTTTCAGAAAATAATCTTTAAAAATTTTTTCAAAATAAAGATTTTTAAAAAAATCTTTATTTACCTTTCCCCAATAAACACAAGCGTATTATGGAAAGCGTTGGGTTTTTTTCATATTGCTGAATGTTAATGGTGTAAACTGCCTGGAGGTTATACTAATCCAAGTAAAACAAGTACTTCTATCAGAAAAGTATAAAGATACAAGTTTTATATAATTCATTTATATATGATATAAAGAAATATTATTTTGCACTTTAAAATTGAAATACTACTCCTTTGGAATTTTTGACAAGTGATATAAAAGAAGCCCAAGTACTATGATATTTATTTTTTGGAAGAAATAGTGACTTTACCATTGCTGCTCAAGAATGATAGGTTTGTAGGTATCCTATCATGATAATACAAATTTAGCTACTATTAAAAGGAAGAAGATGGAATCCTTTCTATTAATGAGGTAGCATCATCAGTTTCCAAGACAAGCATTAATAGATTCAGCGCTGGAGTTTGAACATTGCACTAATTATGGCTGTTAAGCAAGCCATTATTGACTATATTTGTTGTGTTCAGCCAAAATTAACCACAATGATGACTTACAGAAATGATTTAAATAATTCTCAAATTACAAGTATGGGAATATGGACTATGATATATAAACTCCCTCAAAAGTGATGAGATCCTGGTGGCATAATATAAACTTCCCATTTTTAGCTTGTTTTGTGCATATCAACCACTTGCTCATAATTTAAAACCTATTCTTTGATGTTATCACATATAGAGGCAATAAGGTGTTTTCTTTAAGCTTGTGCTCTCTCTGTGTGTGTGTGTGTGTGTGTGTGTGTGTGTACAATTATGCCTGAAATTCCTTCCCAGAATAGCTATTGAAGTGACATTCTTATTCAAATTGCCATTCAGCTTCCCCCTTCCTGCATTTTATTAAACTTTGGGATTAACTCTTAACTAATGGAGTTTATGTTTTATCAAGCTGGAAAGTGATTACTAATCCTAAACATTGGCTCCACCTGTTTCTACTATCAGGGTTAAGGCTAAAGAAACATGGAAATGAGGGATCCTTGGTGCTCTCTGAGCTTGGTTGCTTTTTTGCAGACGTTTCATTTTATTTTTATTTGATTTGATTTGATTTGATTTCTATACCGCCCTTCTCCAACAGGACTCAGGGCGGTGGACAGCCGAGATAAAACATAACATATAAAATTTAAAAAACAGTTTAAAAGACATTAAATAATTTCGTTTCATTACCCAGACTAGTTAACATCATCAGTGCCAATCAGTGAAACATCTGCAAGAAAACAGCCAAGCTCAGAGAGCACCAAGGACCTCTCATTTCGACCCTGAGCTACAAATATTCTCCTTTATTGGAAAATAGGAAATAGTTGAAAAGTTGTCAGAATTTCTATGTGGCTTATTTGCTGCATTATGTCTGGTTTGTATATTTCAGACTATGCTGGCTTGGATTAATCATTTATTTCTCATCTGCAACTGGGAAGAAGCAGAAATATATATGTGAGATACATATACATATACATATATATTCATTCATTCATTTGCATGTCCTATCTTTCCCTTTTTTCCTTCCCTTTCATCTTTTAGCCTGTCAAAATTTATTTATACTCTAAACTCAGGGGAGGAGATATCAAATTCCATAAATATGAAAGACCTTGACAGCATTTCATATGGAAAAATGAAGCATTTTTACCCTGATGTATACTATCCATGAGAAATACACCAGACCTCTACATTTTGATGTCCCTTTGTGTCAAGCACGGTGAAGGACTAATGATATACAGTAAATTCCTAAACAGTACTGGATTCTTGATGTTCTTTACAAAGGAGTAAGATGGGTGACCAATAAATTTTACAAATAAATAAATTTGTTTTTTGTCCCAGTATCGCTTCTCTATATTGTCTATCCATGCTGATTTTTGTTAAAATAAAATAAAAGAGTTCTTAATTGAGGCACAAGTGATCAGGCTCATCATATTTGGGATATTATGCAAAGCCTGAAATTTGAAAAGTTTATTATTCTGGGGAAGACAGAAGGAAAGCAAAAAAGAAGCCGATTACAACAAGGGGGACTATGGTTAGGTTTAAAACGCCCTGGTGGAAGGTCTGAAGAACAAGAAAAATCTGTCTACGGAGTCACTAAAAGTCAGCACTGACTTGGTCCATAATCAATTTCTGCTTACATATCTTGTATGTGTTTCTTGCTATTTGCTTCTCAGTTAGGGAAGGTGACTACTTCTATGACTCCATTTCCCACTTAGCAATCCATATGATACATCGATGCACTGTGTTTATCCTCTCCTGGGACAGCTTACAATCCCAATGGCTTGTGGAGCAGCAGGGCTAAATTTGGCTACACTTTTTTCGTTTTAAGTAGAGAAAGAGGTAAGTATCCAAAAACAAAATTGGTAGTGGACAGGGCCGGATTTTCCTATAGGCTAACTAGGCTTCAGCCTAGGGCCTCAAGATCAAGAGGGGCCTACATTCAAATTGTTAGCAAAATTAAAATTACACTTTCACTATAGGTGAAAGGGCCTCATAATAGCCTAGGGCCTCTTTTCATCTAAATCCGGCCCTGGTAGTGGATTTCGGATTTCAGGGACCAGATTTCACAAAACCTGGGAATGAACATAGACATACTAGAAACAGAGGGGACAGTATAGTTTCCTTTCAAGGTAATCAAATAACACATGTGTGAAAAGTCTTTGTAGAAATAGTGGATGGCTACAGTCCAATAATTTGGTTGGAAGTGTCACCGAGTCCACTGAAAAGGCAAAAGATAAAATGAAGTATTAGAAGGCATGATGGAAGCAGAAGGGTAGATAGAGGAGAATAAACTCACTAGTTTGCTTCCTGGTGAATGGATGTTTTTGGCTGACCATGTCCTCTATGGTAGCAGTTTTGTAAGAGTGCCTGTGTGACATGCTCTTCAAATTCCACATGTGTCCAGTGGCCTGAGGCATGCAGTTTAACATGCTGGCTCTTACCCAATATTTCCCTACCCACATTCTCTGACCTTTTCAGCAAGAAGCTGTGCAGGAGAGCTATTCTTTCGTTCATGAGAACATGATAAAAATTTCCTGTGTAATGACAGTTATGTGCTAAAAATATGTGTATCCTCCTGACTAGTACATTTAATCCTATATAGTATTCACAAAACCTGGGCGAGGGCTGATTTCTAATATAAATTGCATCAAAGCTGCATTTCAAGGCCATCTATATATTTATTCTTGTAACACACTCAGTACAGGTTAGATAAGCATCACCCTGGCATATTAAAATAATGAAACTGTAAACAGCACTAAATACCTAAGGAAATGTATGCTCCTATGGCAACATGGGTGCTGGGGCAAGGGACTTTGAAAAGGCAGAATTGAAAGAAATTCTTATATGCCAGGCTTCTGACTTCTAAACCAGCATGAAGATAATAGCCTGACTTAATATTTGCTGAGGATAACTGTAACACAAAAGACTTTGGACACATTTTACTTCTGCCCAATTAATCTCTAAATGTCCTTCCAGTCATTGCATTCATTTATGGGCTGGGTCTAGCATTAGGCAGCAGACTCAACCTTCACCATTTATGAGCTGTTAGAAGATGGAATCGTGTGCGTTACTTAAAGAGGCTTCTAGCTAGCCTTAAAAGATGCTCTCCTGCTGCTGCTTCTTAGCTGTTCAATTAAGATGTAATGGAAAAAGAAAAAGGGAACAAATCCTTCATTTCACTCATCCAAACTCTTGGGTTGCAAGAAGTCCATAAAAAATCTTCAGTACTGGGAAAACTCTCTTTTCTGCAGTTTTTGCTTGGGTTGGGGCTTGAAGCAGGCCTACCCTTTATGATTAGTTTCATTTGAGAACATAGATTTTTTTTTATTAGTGGTCCCATAAAGTTCTTTTATGGTTTGGGCCAGATCAGATCAGTTCCAGAAGGTATGAGCTACATCTCATATCCATATCTAATCC